ACATAACCTTCTCCCAACAACTCGAGTTATTGGGATCAACTGGTTCTTGACATGGTATCAGAGTCTTCTGTGACCGAGAGGTCTTGTGTTCGATTCCCGGTGACCCCCATTTGTTAAGCACATAATTCTTGTCTTCAGACCTGTGCAAACTTCAAGCCTTTTCGAACGATCTAGGTTAGATCGATGATTTCTCAATTATAACCACTAGTGTGGGCCCCGACCATTTGGCCGGAGGAAGGTGAGGTATGAAATTTGATAATGTAATGGGGTATATAGCTTATTGTTGTATAGTTTTTTTTTGGGAAACACGTGATAAAAATAGTGAATTTTAGTAGGAAAGAGACATGAATGATGCAACGAATCAAAAATCAGCCTTGTGAACCAAAATCAAGTACCTGTTACCTTGTGAAACAATATTGTTTCTGGTAATATGATGAGGTAGAGACAGTTTTATAGAAACCGAATTCCAGAAAATCGAATAAAAAATCGCCTATCTTGCCGGTTTTCGGGAAATGAGCATCTCACAATCGTTGCTAGCTTTTACTGGGGCCGTTGGCCGATTAATTTGCTTTATAAAACTTTCATCTTCTCATCATTGTGTTTTCTGGTTTTTTGCCAAGCCATGATAAAATCTAAAGAAATCAAGAATGAACAACACGATTTGGGATAAGAACCACCGTTCTTGTATCCTTAGAAAATGGTGGTAAAAACGGACTCACCTGTCAAACTGGTTTGGATTAAGATTTGTATCGGGTATCAGGGAACCATATGATTATAAATTAGACTTGATTAAAACGGGCCAAAACTTGAAATTCAACATGTTTGACCCACCCATGCCAAACTCTAATTATTCTTTACTTTTAAACTTTCTATTTGAAATAAAAAATAATGAAAGAAAAGAGATGACTACAATTCGCCATTTTTTTTCTTTTTCCGTTGAATCAGTTCAATTCGCCATTTGCACATCACTGATTTGGGAATAAAACTATAGAATTCGAAAGGAAACTGAAAAGGTTTAGGATCGTTTTAATGTTAAAAATAACCAAATAGATCTTTCTGTTTAGTTTTTTACTATCAAATACCAAATGATTCCCTATTATATACACTATAACTTAATCATTATGATATCAAATAATTACATAATATATATTTGAAATGATAAAAATTGGACTAATTGGGTTAGTCGAGGTTGAACCGTTGAATAACTTTAAAATACATTATATTTAGCCACTAAGATATAAAATAACAGCATAATATATATTATGCTAGAGAAAATAGCTTGTTTTAGAATGACAAACCCTTGATGTTCATTTGTTTTACTTGATGGGCAAATCCCGTGTAGGTCAGACCCATTCAACTCTTTTATTTTATGATTAGCGGTTAGCCCATTAGAATTCATGCATTAGTTTATTGTTAATTTTTTTTCTTTTTAGCAATAAAAAGAGTATTGTTTTTGTCTTTTCATATATAGTTTACCACCACGGAGAAATAAAAGGACTTAAAGAAAAAAAATTGACACTCCTGGACCCGTTTAATCCGCATGTGTACGGTAAGTTGGCCCGTTCCACAGAGGAAAAAGAAAAAAAATTGACACTCCCTATTCTACCCTTCCTACAAACGCTCATGGAGTAGGGAATTTGAAATGGGGGAAGAGTTTTTTCTCTCTGCGATTATATGTTTTTAATTTCAAAAGATTCAATAAATATACTTAGTGTGATTGGTTATGATCTTTGCTTTTCTTAAAAGTGGTCATGGTTCAAATCCTAGTAAGTGTCTTTTTTAATGAATAAAAAAAAGTAATTGTGAAGACCATAATGCCCTTCCTACTTTCACTCTGGATGCAGGAAATTTGAAATGGAGCTTCAAGTTTTCTCATTTGGCTTTTATTTATTGTGTAGATTAGATCTGATTTTGCGAATCTACGAGAACCTATTGTAGTTCCAAAGAAAACTGCGAGATCGATGAACATGATCGATCGAGAAAACAAAGGACGGATTGATATTGGTGGCGGTGCTTAATTGATTGCAGCTGCAGTACTCGTTATTAATTGCTTTCTTCCTATTTGGTTTCCAGAAGTAGCGATTTGGTTACAAGAAATTCAAAGGGAGGAAGATCCATGTCGGCTTAGATAGCGTCGTCTCAGATTCAATCATCAGTCTATTATTGCATCGCATCTCTTCTTCTTTTTTCAAGAAGCATCCATTTGGATGAATTATTGTGTTTCTTTTCCAATGTTCAAGACGTATCGATCGGTCTTCTTCGTCCGAAAAATCTACACAAAAAATATTCAAAGGGAAGCTGCTGGTGTTCGTCATTGAATATGGTTTGTTGAATTTGACAAATTATATTGGTCCGATTATTATTATTTGATTAAATTGACAATTAAGTTTGAGTTAAGAGAATATGAAATTTGTGGTTCATCCATTAAAAGTTAGAATATAGTATCATATTCCAAATTTTGTTATATTTACGGTCCGAATATAGATATCTCATCAAATGCGAATGTTGTAGCGTTAGCGGCGGAGCGAGAAATACAAACGGGGCTAAAATCTACGCTAAGATAATTTAAACTAACGAAGGAAGAGGGGGGCTAAATTAAGCCTACCCAACTACTATATATAGTCTCCCTTGCTATCAATTAGGGCTGGACAGGCGGTTCGGTAAACTCGAACCGAGCGCCGAACCAAACAAAACCGAGCCAAAATCGGAAAAATATAACTTCGGTTCGGAATTCGAAAGGCAAAAATCTATATTTCGGAAACCAGATTATGCCGATTGAACCCAAATTCCGATTACCCGACCGAAATACCGAACATACTGCCAACCCCAGCCTCTCAGCCCACACTCCCAGCTAGGGCTGCAAACGAGCCAAGTCGAGTTTTTGCTTAGCTTGAGCTCGGCTCGTTTATTAATTTTTCAGCTCGAGCTCGGCTCGAACTCGAATTTTTATAATCTAGCTCGAGCTCGAGCTCGGATTGAATAAAAATAATCTAGCTCGAGCTCGAGTCGGTAGAGCTCGATAAATGCTCATTAACATAGCTTGTCAAGCTGAGTACAAGCTCGGCTCAAGATGGGCTCGATTTAAAATCATTTTTCTGGAAAAATGTATAAACATAAGAATTTAAATGATAGAAAGAACACTAGAAACTATAAATAACATCTAAATTTCATACACATATGTATTAGAAGACAATGTTCATGTTTAAAAGAGTAATTCATCCTTCCACAAGCTCAAAACAAGGCAGCTCGCGAGCTTAGCTCGACAAGCCACCAAATCAAGCTAGCTCGCGAGCTTATCAAGCTGAGCATGGTCTAGCTCAGGCTTGGCTCGTTAACTAACGAGTTGGCTCGCGAGCCGACTTGTTAAATAACGAATCGAGTGTCGAACGAATTTTTTCCGATTCGAACGCCGAGTTGCTCGCGAGCGACTTAACTAATTTGCAGCCCTACTCCCAGCCCACCCAATAACAACATAACCCTATAAGCCCTACTCCCAGCCCACCCAATAACAACATAACCCTATAAGCCCACTCCCCCACAACCCTATACCACAGCTGCCAACCCTCAACCTACCCATCTTTGAGCTCCTTCGATGGCAGCGAACACAAATCCTGGGAGGGATCCTCGGCGACCTCCTCTTCAATTGGACTGTCAAACAACAAAATGCAGGCAATGATTCTGGACGCCCAATACTTATTTCGGATATGAAGGAGAAAGAAAGGAAGAAACCAAGAAGAGTAAATCTGACGATAGATGATTCTAGTGATGGCAAATTGACGGCAGCGGGCTCTGCCTTGAGGAGCCGCGTGCTCGACCTTGAGGATTTAGGGGTGGGCAACAAGTAACGGGTATTTGGGTATATCCGTACCCATCCCGTATTTTGAAGGTTACGGGTACCCATAATACCCATAATATTATTAACGGATGGGATTTGGGATTGTACATTACTATAATGGGTACCCGCGGGTTACCCCCAAATACTCGTTTGGGTAACATGGGTACCCATTAAACCCGTTCATTATGTAAGGCTGAAAATAAATGGCACAAAGCCCGTTCAATTGTCTAATTGTGGCGGATGAGCTGCTTGTTATGGTTTTCATGTTTATTTGCTGTTGAATTGATTTATTCTAATTGAACAAGGTTGATATTTTTAATACATGTTGAAAGATTTGGCTAATTAATAACATTTTAATAGGTTTGGATAATATAAAAGAATCTGAAAAAAAGTTTAGATAAAAATTAGACATTACCCTATTTTTAATTACAGGTCAAATATTTTGGTGATTAAATTATGTTTTGATATCTTTATATTTTTTTCTCACATTATAGTATCTAAACTTTTAAAACATTACAAAAAGGTCAAAATTGCTGGTACCATATCCTCTCCATATTTCAAATCATTAATTGCTGCTATTCATCGTATGGCCAAAAAGTGACACAACCCTAAATTGACCCAATCCTACTCGACCCTGACATAACTAAAAGATGATCCAAAACTCTAAACTAACCTTGTAGACAAACTGAACCAACCCAACCCCTCAGAAAGTTGGATCGAACCCAATCAACAGGTAACTAAAAAATGACCCAATGCTACTAGCTACCTTTCTGAGGTGATGGATGGAGACTTGCTGATCTTTCTTTGTTTGGTTTGGGAAGATGGATCTCCTCGAAAATGGAAAGCTAGCTAAACTAGGTTCTCGGGCGTCCTCGTCGTCGTCGACGTCGTGGTGGTCTTTAGTCTCTTGAGAGGTGCAATTAATACGAATTTGGACGTCCATATTGGCGCCATATCCTAGCCGGCGGGGCCTCCATAGTTATTGGCTTGTCTTCACATAACTTACACTGCTTATTGTCATTATCATCAGCAACACTTTATGATCAAAACAATAAATACCCACAAACCGCAGCCTCTCTCTTGTTTTCTAGCTTATAAATACGCCCTCCTCCCAATTCACCTTTCCTCTCTCAAAAACTCTCATCACCTCCATATTTCTCCACACAGACAAAGAAAAAGAAGATATCCATGGCGATGGTGATATTTCAGAGGTGGCTGAGAGAGATGAACAAGTTGTGCACCAAGTGCAAAGAAGCTGCAGCCTCTTTGTGTTCTTTTGGAGGGTTGACGACGATGGAGCCTCGACTCGAAAGCCTCCTAGTAATTAGCATCCCACCGTTGTTGACTAACATTCTCCTCGCTTCATTCACCTGCATCATCGCATTAGGTATTTTACAATCTCTCCCGTCTTCGTTTTTCCCCCGTTTATCTCGATCTCTGTTGAAATCGAGCTGTTGGTTGAACACGGTCTTCATTTAGATCGGTACAGAATTCGAAATTGATAAATGAAGCGGTTTACACCTAAAATTATAACAACACCGCGAAATTTTCCACCGACGTCCAAAATATCTTTTAGAGAATTGAAGGAAGTGGGGCATGCATGAATGTTAGTGTGTCAAATTAGTCAATGAGTTTGCAACTTGCAAGCTCTGTCCCAATCCCACGCTGCAACGGGGACAATGTCAATGTGTACCAATTAACTCAGCAACTCCAGTTTAGGTATTTATATAATAATATGCGCACAACCTAACCCCAAAAACAAAGAACCAATTGGAATTCATTGTCAACAGTACTCACGTAGAGAGCTTTCACATTGCGGTATATTGTGGATTCAATTAATTAAATATAATGCGATCGAGCAGGAGGAGCTGCGGTGGGGACGGTGGTCGGAGCGATGAAGGGTCAGACGACGGAGACGGGCTTCCTCCGTGGCTCCATCATCGGTGCGGTGGCAGGCGCCATCACCTCTGTTCAACTCCTCGAGTCCATTGCCGACGGCGAGCCATTGTCCAAGGTATGTTATCTACCCTAATCACATCATCAGATATTACACTGCTGTGGCACCATGTCGTCTAGTTCACGATTTTTTTTTTCGTTTCGTTCACGTTATTTGGCGATTAGTCACATATTTCGATAATTATTTATTCACGTAAGAGTTACGTTGTGATTATTCATGCAAATGAAAACTAGAAATTAGTTGCATAATTAACAATATGCGTTAATGAACGCAAGGTTTCGTGAATAACCACCATTATTACGTGTATAAACAACATATGGTGCAAACCAGCGGCCGCCCGCGGGCCGCTGCCCAGCCCTCCTCTTCAAACCTAGTATAGCACTTGTAATTTTTTTATTTTTCGGTACTTGTTTAAGTGTTCGTCGAGCTACGACCCAGTTCATTCTACCTCTTTTCAAAATGTGGCACAGTGCTCTACCCAATCCTGGATTAGCCGCCGGTGCAAACAAACACAAACTTACATGAATAAACTAGTACTACCGGAAAATTCTTCTATACCAGAACCTAAATCGGTTGACGATTTTAGCAATATAAAATGGTTAAACTCCACTTAAATCACAGTTTCAATACAAAATATCCTACCACTGACTTTTCTAGTACGAATTCCGATATGATTTCGCAACAGTTGAAATAAACAAAAAAAAAAAACTTAGAATTAGGTATTGTGGCACCCATCCTTTTCCATTACAAAATTGATCGATGATGTTGGCGAATCAGGGTTGTGGATATATTTAGCCCATTCTTTGTAAATGTCATGAGCAATGAAGTAGCTAGTGACTACTGGGCCACCATGCATGCATCATCCATTTATGAGCAGCAACTCTGCAATCAATCACTGCCCTATTTAATATCTGTTCTTATATTTTTCTGGGTCCAATTTGATATTTCTATAGAGAGGGAAATTCATGGTGGGGGTCTCCTATTTGATGTCATATTGTGTATATTTGATGGCTTTTGCCATATTGGAAGCACAATAATTATGGTTCCATTTTTAGGCATGCCCTAAAACAGGGAGTATGAGTGTGACATCCATACATATGGGTGTCCCCCCTTTTTTTAAGTAGACACATGAGTGAGAGAGCAGCATATCGGGTTTCTCGATTTTAGGCGAAACATTTCCAGCAGCATATCGGGTTTGCAATCGTTAAAGGGTAATCGGTAAAGGCGTGTAGATGAATAATTCGGATCTGGTTTAAACCGCGATAACCCGAAATCGAATTTAACAGCCCTAGTGGCTAGTGAGGTGGGTATAATGTCATTGTCACTAACTATATTAACTATATACACACATTGGAAAGATTCCTTCACTGCTCTATGCATTTACACACTTCCATCACCAAAGATCAAATGCCAATTCTTTGTTAGTCTTCCAACAATCCATCACTTTTCACACCCGTGATGCAGGTGGCGTTACTGAACAGCGTGGTGAATGGAAAGGTTTTCATGGAATGGGTAGGCCCAGCTGTGCTGAAAGCTTACCAGTTTCAGATGAGAGCCATGGAAGCTACTTACAGAGAGATGGCTGCTGACATCTACGACACCACTGCTGCTTCTGGCTTGCCCGAGCATTGCATTCAGAGTCTGCCTCAATTCACATTCTCAAGAAGCAGCAGCCAATTATTACTCTGCTGCTCGATCTGCTTGCAGGATGTGGAAGAAGGTGATGTGATGAGAAAAGTGCAGAGTTGTGGACATTGCTTCCATTTGGAGTGTGTTGATAAATGGCTGGTTAGAAATGGCTCGTGTCCTATGTGCAGGACGACTGACTTGTGTACTACTGATGACAACTTTGATCATGATCACTTGTAATCTTCCTTCCAGTTGCATAATTGGAAAGTGAGGGGGGGAAATGGGATATACAGGGGTGTATAAGTTTTTAAGGGTGCTGTTGTTATAGTTTAAAAAAAAAAAGTATTTGAAACGTTACGATAAACGAGTCGCTGCGTCAAATAGATTACGAGAAAATCATTTGTTAACCACATCATCAAAGATTATTTCTCCATTCGAAAGAGAAATGTGTGGTCACAGACTTACGGTCTGTTGGATCGACCGCCTCCAGTTTGAAAGACATGGATGGCGCGCGTCCTTGGTGTGTGCTTTTGCCGTTGGTCTTCTTTCTAACCTCTAGGCATTTTCACTGCTCCCTTGAACATCCTACGTTGAAAAAAACCGAGCCTTTAATTGGTCTTTTGGAATCGAAGTGAAATCTTCCCTCTATTGTCGAAGTGGTGCTTAGGTTTGCAAAATTGTGAATGGACCTAGTGGTTCGTCTGGAAAAAAAAACCTTATTTAGAGAGGCTTTACTAACGAGGTTGAGCATGAGTTTAAAGTAGACCTTGTTCAGACATACAAGGAAGATTTTGGTGTGCTTTCTCGTAACATAGTGCCTGGCTATCTTCACAAAACAATGTGGAACCCTAATTGAACGTACTATTGTCGAGGTGCTGATAAATATTGGTAACCGAATGTACAAGATAGCGTCTTTTATGTTTTACAAAACATTAAAAAAAAATCAAAATTGGAGCTGTAATACCTTTGGGCCTTCATAAAATGAAATAAGTCAAGAGATATTGGGCCAAGCGGCTTGGAACAGAATCATGGGCTGAGCCTGATTTGTAACGGCCCAAACTTCTCCAATATAACGGACATAGGCATAGCAGCACGTGTAAAAACTGTTAGCGTGCCAGTGCCACCCACTTTCTCTCTTACCAACCACAACCAAAACGACAAAGCTCAGAATTGGGCCACAAAAAGAAACGAAAGCCCAAAAAATAACAAATAATTAATTAATAAGAGAAATGCAGACTCTTTTTTTTTTAATGCAAAAACTTTGGAGAGTTGCTCCTCTAGTTCTCTCGCCGCTGCAAATTCTTCCGTTACCATCAGTTGGGAGAGAAAGAGGCAAAAAAAAAAAAAAGAAGGAAAAAACAACAGAGGGAGAGGAGATAAATCGGCAAAAAAATGTCGAGCTGGACGATCGCTTTCAAGCCATTCCACATCCCAGCATTCATCAACCTCCCATTCCGTCATCCCCAATTCGCCATCGGCGGTGTTTTTGTCGGCTCCACCGCCACCCTCTGCCGCTCTTCCCGCCGCGCTTCCTCTCCTTTCGCTTCCATGTCCACCTTCACCCTCCCCTGTAAATTCTCTTATCTCTCCCGTTTCCATTTCCTGCTTTCCCAGTAGGGTCTCGCGTCAATTGATCATCTCTACTGAACTGAACCCTATTTTGTACTCCCCTGCTCCGACTTTGTATTTTGCTGTCTATTGTAACGGCGATGCTGATGTTTAGTTAACTGGGTCTTCGCCGCGCTTTGTTGGTTGTTGAAGAGGGACGAAACCGATCTCTACCCATTTAGTTTAATTCTTCCCTTGTTTGATTTTTTTTTTCTTCTTCTGTCCAAGTGTCTACCTTTTAGTGTTTGCAGCTTAGGGTTCATCATACTTCATAGTCGCTTGAGATTGGTAACAGTTTGTTCTCCGATTGCTGCAGCCAAAAAAGAGGCTGTCAAGACCGAAAAGGCGCCGGCCGCTCTTGGCCCTTATTCTCAAGCTATCAAAGTCAACAACCTTGTGTTTGTTTCTGGGGTTTTAGGCCTCATTCCAGAGGTATCATTATCCATGTCATTTGAACTCTTCTCTTGTTTCTTAATTCCAGGAAATGTGTCTTGGAATAATATTGGTCTCTAATCTTGTTTCCCTCTATATTCAGACTGGGAAATTCGTCTCCGAGGATGTCGAGGGTCAGACGGAGCAGGTAAAGATGCCTCCCCTTTTGTTTTAGAGGGTGTTTCTACATACACGCTGGGATGTTGTGCTTGTTCTAATGTTGCTTGATTCTTTCACTGGCATGGCACTAACAGATCCTCAAGAACATGGGAGAGATTCTGAAAGCTAGTGGCGGGGACTATTCCTCAGTCGTCAAGACGACTATCATGTAAATGGTTCCTCTGTATTTTGTTCGGTTTGCCCATACAAGGGTTTGAATCCCAGAGTTTCAGATGTGAAAGCCCTTCTTCTTTTTCGCCTCTTATTGTATTTTGTTTTCGTCGCAGGTTGGCTGACTTGGGCGACTTCAAGAAAGTGAACGAGATCTATGCAAAATGTAAGTATATAATTATGCATGAGGCGCTTGCGCTGCAGCCTACAGGCTGATGCTAATATTTCCAGGCAGTTCATATGAAGCCCTTGTGACTGCTTACCTAGTTAGTAGCACTATATCTACTGTGGAAACAGCTTACTCCACTATATGGGATAAATAGTTCCATTGTTTCTGTTTCTTCTTGGGCTTGGAACTTTGAGTTGACTAAATTAGAGATATGTCCAACAACTTTACTTGAAAACTTAGCAGGAGAATAAGATCATATTGTTGGAGAGAAAAATTTACCTTCTTCTCTTTCTGTTTGCAGACTTCCCTGCTCCATTCCCAGCTCGATCAACATATCAGGTAGCTGCATTGCCCTTGAATGCCAGGATTGAAATCGAGTGCATTGCCGAACTTCCTCAGAAGATCGAGGCTCAGCCTGTCTAGGTAAAAACAAACTTGAATGTATTCTTAGAAACTAGAACTGAACAATAAGAGAGAACGGGGAGGGGTCTCAATAGATGACAATTGATCACTAGGCGTTTTCAGTTGCAACCCTCTTGAATATCTGTGGCCACGAAACTGTTGTCCAGTTTGTGTGATTCAATAGAGAGGGTGACCGTCCCTGTAAAAAATTTATGGTACTGCTACTGCACCCAGTGAGAGTTAAATTTGTGATGGAACAGCACTTGTTATCCGCTGTTTCATGTTTTTCACGTATGAATGAGATTTCTAGGCGGTTTAATCCGTGTCGGATCATGCATTTGCAGTCGAAAACCTCCCACTGGTGTGCACGGTGCACGCTAACAAACCTGCAGTTTGTAGATTGGAAGTGGGGAAAGCAAAAGAATAACTTGGAGCTTCCTATGGCTGAGGCTGAGGCTGTGGAGCGCTCTTGTGATGGTGTTCCAGATTAAGCAGCCAGTGGTCATTTGTTGCGTCTGTTGTTTGATGATGAATCGATATGGCATGAATGCAATGCTTCTATTCAACCAATTGTACGAATGAAGTTGGTAAGGATCAACCTAAGAAAGAATAAGCCTTTACAAGAAAAAAATTGGTAGCCCTATAACCCAAGAAAAAACGTTAGTGCATCAAATAGTATTCGAATTTCCTTCAAGGTGGCTTCTCCTAAGTCATGGGTCGTCTCTTTCTCCCGAACGCGACATATCAATGATTGACAATCACTATGCAAATTAACAACAAGAAAATTATGAGTTAGACACCAATTAATCGCATCACAAAAAGCTAAAAGCTCGATAATGAAAATGTCATTCGATATGAAGCCAAGACCAAAACTAAGGGGTCGTTTGGAGGTTGAGATTTGAAGTGAGGTATTTAGCAAATACATGTAATGATAAGATTAAGTCGTTTTTTTGGTTCACTTTGAGTTAGAATGCATGCATTATCTTTTTGTTGGGCCCACCTACAATCACTCAAAATGAATGATTATAAATCTCTACTAAAAGGTGAGATTGTTAATGAGGGATTGTCTACCCTACTTTTTGTTTCATCATTGCTCTTCCAAACAAAGTATTTTCCTAATACATGCATTGAATCAATACATCAAATGATAATACACTAATTGACCTAATACATCAATTTGAAGAATCACAATTTCCAAACGACCCCTAAAAGTACCTTCAAAACTGACGAAACCTATAATACCATCTATCATGACCGCAGCTCATGTACCCAACAAACAATTGGGCTTCTTTGTTTGACAGCCCAGCCCATCAATAGAAGCGGCCCAGAAACTCTTAAAGCAAAACACGAAAAATGGCAACCCTCTTTTCAGTTTTCACTTTTCACCAACAAAGTAAAATTACAGATTTCGATCAGTAAAAAATTAGGGATTTATCTTCCTTGCTTCTATTCGCCTACTTCCATGTCGGCCGATAACAGCACCTCCGCTTCCGGTCGGCCGCCAAGCTCACGTTTTGTGCCTTGCAGCTCCGGGAAACGTTGCCGGATCCCTTCGACAGAACCAAACGCTCCTCCGAAGATCCGTACGCTCGGGGACGATCTCCTCGTCGAAATTCTGATTCGCCTACCGAACCCTAGATACTCCTGCCGATGCAAAGCCGTCTGCAAGGGATGGAGGTCCCTCATCTCCAGTCCCCGCTTCAACCGTAGTTTCATTTCTCGCCACCGGAGCAGGAACCAACCATCTTCTCTGCTTCTCAGCTCAGACGACTCCCAATCGATCATCAATAGCTTTCTACCACGCATGAGTTTTGTTGCCCAAATCAGTTTCTCAGTTCTGGATTCCTACAAGGACTTGGTTTTGTGCGGGTTTTACAGTTACAACAGTAGCGATTGGTACAGATTGTACTTCATCTGCAATCCGCTCACGGAGCAATGGGCCGCACTTCCTTTGGCGCCTGAATTGGCAGCTAATTGTCTTCCAATGTGTGCAAGGTTAGTCTGTGAATCCCGCATTTCTAATAATCTCGATCTAGGAGATGACCAAGTCTTTGTTTATTCTTCGGAGCATCGGTTCCGCGTGGTGTTTGTGTACAGAGAAGACCGATTCTCCTTGAAACTGAACGTGTTTTGTTCGGAATCTCGGGAATGGACGAAGGAAGCTCTTGTTATCGATGATAGATTTGCACGCTCGCCAAACAACATGCTTTCTTGCAACGGGGAGTTGTTTTGGCTTGATCTTGTCCAGGATCCAGGTCCTATCCCTTTGTTTAAGCCTGTAGTTTTTGCTTTCAATCCTTTCCGTCCCGATATACCTCCCTCTGCCATTGATGCTCCATCAGGCGGTGTGAAGCTGGACCTGCATATTTCGGTCTCACAAGGTGCTGTGCACATATTCTTACGGGAAAAGAATCCTGAACTGGGTCTTTCACCATTTGCCTTGACTGTTTGGAGGCTGGAAGAAGACCGCAAAACTTGGAGGAAACTATGTGCAGGGTTGGTGAAGGGATCAAGGTCACATGAAATGGATTCTTGTGGTCCACCTACCCTCCATCCAGGGAAGCCGGAAGTTGTCTTCTTCACTCGTCGCTGCAATATTTCCTTTCCTCCCCAATTCACCTCCGTTAAGATGAAGACGCACGATGTGCTGTCCTGCAATTTGAAGACGGGTGGAGAGCTGGAGTTGTTTGCTGATGTTCACAATTACCCAAGTTTTTGGAGACTTTTCCAGGCTGAGTTCTCCTGCTGGCCGACTTCAATACCAAAGTACGAGGAATTGCGAGTTGCATATGATGGAAGCCACAGCTGCTGGGCTCAGAACGACAACACGCCAGTAACACCTCCCTGAATAGCTGGTAATTGCTTCTGATTGTCAGTCCCTGCTAGGGTTAGTTATGCACTGGCCGAAATGAAAATGACTAGGCATGCATTAGTAGTAATAATGAGAGAGTAGAAAAGTAAGGGGAAAATTTCCTTATTCCCCTTACAGGATTATAGGAGACATATCGAGCCTGCTCACTAAATAACTGTTTCCTCGCACTTAACATATTAAGCTGCTCACCGATGCATGTCTTCTATCTAATTGCATGAGAATTTTGTTCTGTTTTGCAGACTCTTTGGTCTTTTACGATAAACTTGTTCTGGTTTCTGATCATATCTCCCATCTTGTTTATGTTTGGTTGGGTTCCGTAAACCTCTTGAATGTCTGTGGCCTCAACTGTTGTCCAGTTTGTAGCGGTTCAATAGAGAGAGTTACCGGCACCCGGTGAGAGTTGAATTTGCGATGGAAATAGCAATTGTTATCTGCAGTTTCATGTTTTTTTTGTTTAAAATGAGATTTTCCTACTGTTTAATCCGTATGTTTCACTGCAATGGATCATTGCATCTGCAATCGAAAATCTGGCACTGGAATGCACGCTGACAAATTTATGGCTTGTTGTGTATTGAAAGTGGAACGCCCTTGTGGCGACGGCAAATTAAGCAGGTAGTAGTCATTTGTTGGGTCTGTTGTGTGATATGATAAATTGATATGTAGGGTTTCCTGCATTGCACGCCTGCTGTAGCCTCAGGGATTAAAAGCTGCAGATGATGAACGTTGATTGATGCGAGCCTGATCATAAGGATTTGCTTCTTGTTCTTTGATACAAGCCCTCCATGTTTTGCCTTAATGCTCCCTTACCTGAACCTCAGATACTGTCGTGCTAAGTCGATAACTTTGGCGAATATCTACAGATCTAGACTACTCGACCTCTGCCCGAGATTCTACGATTCTTGGTAGCTAATTTTGGGACTTCACTTGCTTTATTGAGTGAATCATGTATACTAGTCCAAATACATAATCGTGACTCCATCTTGATTCTTGAGGCATGGCTATTATGTAGTGTCCTTTGGTATTTCGTTTTGGTAGGCCATTGTATCGTCATTTCGACGAAAAAATAAGTGGAAGATTAAGCAATGAACTTTTGGGGAAAACTCATTCTCAACTTTTTAGTTTGGACGTGAATTGGACACGGATCAATGGATACCCAAAAGAAGAAAATGATACTATCTACGCCACTCTTTCTCGATCTCGCTCAAAACGAAGCACCCGACGACTCTGTCCAAAATCATTTAAAGTGCATTTGGGTCTGACCCAATATCCATACGAGTCATGACAATTGGGTTAAATTACTCAACCGACGTCTCATTGTCGGACATTTCTTTCATTCTTGTATTATTGCATCTTCAATAATTCCTTCCACTTATATGCTAAATTTTTTTACTACCATATAAATCATAATTGTCATTAACGTAATGATAATATTTCCATCCAATTCACCAGCGGAAAAACGACATTATGGATAAGCTTCTTTGAAATATGATTTTGACCCGATTATTTTTTTGAATTAATTCAAAAAAGAGATAAAATAACGAGTCAATTCGAATTTCGTATTCTCTTCCGGACAATCTAAATTCTCTTCAAATCAAATTAAATAGGAATTCCTCTAGTTAGCCTAAGGCTGACGACAGAGAAATGAATGGTGATGAGAAAGGGACGAATGAAGAAGATGAAGAATGAAACGCAAGAGCGGCATCCGAATTCGGCAACTTTTTAAAAAGGTTTTGATTTCAAACATTCGGCACGCCAACTCACGACACCCAGAAGCCAGATTAGATATATCTCTTGCAATTCTTCATTTTTCTTTTCTTTCTTCCTTCGTCAAGCAACAGCAACCAGCAAGTCTTCCGCCCCCCTGCCTCCTTCCATCTCTGCCTCTGGTGGGTCTCACCCGATTCCTTCAGTAATCTCCGGTTTTCCTTATCTGGGTTCGTTTCTGGTGGATAGATCTGCATATTTAGCCATTTGTTTCTTGCTTATTGTGAAGGCTTCTGGGTTTTGGTCGCCTTTACCTGGAATTTGCTTCTTCTCCTTTTGCTAGTGCTTCTCTGGAGCTATGCTTAGTTCTTCATTTCGTGGTATGTCAACTGTATTGCTGTCGGTTTGGAGGTTTTGGTTGGTGAAATGTGATTTGTGTTCTTTTCCATTTTGTTTCGATTGCTGTGTAGCCGCTTCACCATTCTAGCTATGCTTGATTTCTTACCGTTATACCTATTGTCACGCAATTGTCTCTTGTTGAATTGATCAATTCCCAGCGGCTGGATTCTCCAAAAGCTTTGAACTTTCTCTGTTTCAAAGCAGGCCAAGTTTGAGCATGTTATGCTTCTTTAGTCTACTATCACCATTTACGACTGCAATTCTATTGCCATGAGTTTTTTTTATACTTAGACCCCCTAATTTGATTAAGGTAGAAACCTTCTTTCTAAGTGGTTATTGCTAAATTTTCAGGGATTGTAGTTTGCTAGATAATGGACGGAACCGTTGTGAGAAGGGTCATTCCCTCGGACAATTCTTGCCTCTTCAATGCCGTTGGGTACAGTTCTTCTGGTCTATATGTTTGCTTCATACATTGTTTACCGTTAGTTTGTCGGGATGGTTTTCTCATCCTTTTGCACTATGCCTGTTTGGACAAAATTTCACATGCAGATATGTTATGGACCACAACAAAAATAAAGCTCCTGAGCTTAGACAGGTTCTCATCTAATCTCTTTGCTTTATGTATGCTTTGTTCCCGCGTTCCATTTTTTACTTTATTTGATAAATGTTAAATTGAAGAAAACAGTAGTGTTAGCATAAACTGCCTCTTGATTACTGGTATGAAATTAATGTTAAATCGAATATATATATAACAAACTTAAACATGCACGATGAATTTCTTAGGTAGACTAGCATGTCGATCATAGATTACTTTTATGCTTAGTGCGTGAATACTTGATTACTGATCTGAATAATTTTTAATCAGAAAACTGTTGCACCATTCAACCATGCCAAATTCCTGTTCTTTCTGTAGACTGGCTTACAAAATGAAGTGAGATTGATTGAGGGATTCAAGCATTTTGTAGTATATATGTTGTCACTTTTCAGAAGTTAGATTGACAATGAATCAACAATGATATTGCATGATAAGAATTGGTGGGCATTGTCCTGTTGACTAGCTAAGCATAGATGCTCTCATTGCCTTTGCTTTGATGAGTTCAAAAGCGCTTTGTTCCATCTCTTATACCTTTCAAAGTATTGGTTAACTGATCTTCTGTTTGATTGTGAGTCCCTTGAAGGTTATAGCTGCAACAGTGGCAAGTGATCCAGTAAAGTACAATGAAGCATTCCTTGGAAAACCAAATCAAGAATATTGTGCATGGATTCTTGATTCGGAGAAGTGGGGAGGTATGTTTGCTTGTTTCCTGTAGTCTGGTTGAGAGGATATCTCATAAGCAATTTCATTTACCTGTGCTGCTTACATCCTGAGAACTCTTACCGGAGAACTTAGTGAAATGCTTATTTCAAAATGAGCAAAGTATATAAGCAACCATATCCATGAGCAAAAACCGATAGAAGGTTTTACAAACCTGCTTAATACCCTAATGACCGTCATCCCATTCTGTAGAAAATGTACATTGAACCTTGTTCTATGACAATACATAGAGCAGCTCCTGATTATTAATGTACAAATCACTTATAGACGGTTCAAAGTTTGTTGCATCTATATCCCTTAACCATAAATTGTTTGCCTACCATATGAATATCAATGTTCCCTGTTCGGCTTCTGAAGCCATCCTTCTATTATGAACTGGATGATTGGGATCAAATTCTCTAAATGCATTAGCTTCTAATTGTGATTGAATGGGTTAGTTTCTGTCCACCCTCTTCGTAGCCAATGCATACTTGTTTTTAACAAAAGCATATGAAAAATATAACATGCATGTACTTGTTCCTTACCTGTCAAGCTAGAGCAATATCCCTTTTTCATGTACATTCTCTTCCTTCTCACGTGAAGGTGCCATTGAGCTTGCAATATTGGCCGATTATTACGGACGTGAAATTGCAGCATATGACATTCAAACCACTCGATGTGATTTATACGGTCAGGTAAGTAGTGTCATGATTACTTTAGTCTTGAGTTAATAGTAGTTATCCTCTGAATTGCCAAATTTGATTTTTCCATCTTTTTTTTTTTTTTTAATGTTAACAGGACAAGAAGTACTCTGAAAGAGTGATGCTCATCTATGATGGTCTCCACTATGATGCTTTAGCTGTATGTCTCATCTTTCATCTTCCACCTGATGATTTTGATTATATTCAGATTTCGCCAAGCAGTTAGAAAGCTAGATGCTGACTTAAAAATGTATGCCTCCTTATTGGTTGCTTCTCTTGCCATTTGCCCATAAACAGATGTCACCAGTTGAGGAAGCTCCCGAGGAGTTTGATCAGACCATATTTCTAGTCCAAAGGGACAGGACAATTGGGCCTATTGAGGGGCTTGCTCTTAATCTTGTTAAGGATCAACAAAGGTAGTGCTTCGTATCTGATGTACTTTGATCAAGGGAATAACTGTTTTCCTTTCTTTCCAAGACAGGTTTCATCCTGCTGATAAAGAAACTTCCATACTTGGCAGGAAAAGAAGCTACACAGACACTGCAAACTTCACACTAAGGTGTGGCGTATGCCAAATTGGTGTTATCGGTCAGAAGGTACTTGCTTCTTCTTAGTAACCCGTCTACTGCAATTTCTTTTCGTTCTTCAACTGCACTGGCTTAGATTGTGTCGACTTATATGTTCTTTACTTGAATGTCAATGTTCAGGAAGCCGTGGAGCATGCACAAGCTACTGGGCATGTCAACTTCCAAGAATATAAATGACAAAGATCTCCCGTGGAACTACTGTTATTTTCTTTGAACCACAGTGTATTGGATTCTTCAGTAGCCAAGAATTGAATTGCAAACTTCTTTCAACTTTCGTGTTGTAGCTCAATGATTTGAAGACATGATTCACTACAAATGGATGTTCAAAAGTTCTTTAATACATCTGTAGTGTGACCAAGCAGTGAATATTTTCCAGAAAGCAAATACGAAATTCCAGTTGTATACCAAAAGAAACCTTGGTCCAAGATGAAAATGAAGCTGAATTTTTATCCCCTTGGGCATATACAACAAACTGATCAACAACAAGGGCTCTATACGCCCATAAAGATATAAACTCTGAACTATTTCGATCAATAAGGCTCTTACAGTTACAGAAATTGGTACATGATCAAGCAAGTGCTTTCTTTTCTTTGGGGGGGGGGGGGGGGGGGGGCATCTCCTAACCTCTAGATCTTCTGCTTCAGTACATGGCGCAGTTGGAGTTTCTGGCTCTGCATCCTTCCTTCCAAAAGCTTCGACTTTAAACTGTGCTTCTGCAAGGTGCCTCGCGGCCATTCGATACATCCTTTCATTCCTCTAGTTATGTGGGGGTTCCCCGACTCGGGTGATGAACTCCACTGACCTACAAAATCAGAAGGGCTAAAACTTCCTCCTCCATCTTTGCCCGAACCCCTATCTGGCGATACCATCCCTGCACTTGATTTCCTTCCATTGGAGAACCTACCATTCATTCCATCAACTGATATGATCTTGTAGTTCTCCCCATTACTGCCAGACTTCCACAGCCTTGCAATTGCAGATACCTTTTTCGCCTGCCTATTGTTCGGCAAAGAACAAATCTCACTGATTTCTTCTGCAATATGGGCATCCTTGCAGATGTTGTCTTCTTCCCATTCTGTACCGCTCCCTGACACATTACTATCCCTGTGAATCTTATTGACAGATGGAACACTTCCATCGGGGGAGAAACTCGAGCCTTGATCCTCGAGATGGCTCACCGTCTCCCACCCGCTTTCATCTTCTTCTATCTCCTCATTCTGATTAATCACATAGCCATTGCAATGACTAGCAGGACTGAAAGCAGTCGAACAGTGCTCAATGTCTCTCTCATCATTTGGCTCACCAGAATTAACTTCCTCAAGAACAGCAAATATATCGTCTGGGTTAGAGGGCTCATATGTGAATTCCTTCACCACTTCGATATTAATGGCGGCTGCAGCCTGCATTAAAGACTCCACTTGTCTAACTTCTGAAATTGCAGCACCTCTCGATCTTAAAAAGCTTTCCAAATCTGCTACAAGCTTATTCATCTGAGAATACTTCTCCTCGAGAGCCACTTTGGCATCAACCAGCTTCATCTGAACGCGTTCTTCACGCCAAACCTCGGCCATCTGCAGCATCTTCCTCTCATCGTCAACTTCTTCACGCAGCTTCATTGAATCCCTCTTTATTGCTTCAATTTCAGCTTTGTCATCCCCAATTTCTTTAGCGAGCTCATCGCACACTTCCTCGATTAACTCCCGACCCTTTCTTTCCTTTTCGTAGTCCTGCATCAGTCGCTTCCCGGATACCTTTGCATCAGCCAGCTCGTTAACCAGCTTCGAGTTAAGAATCTCCAATCTCTGCCTGTTTTTCCTCTCGCGGCTTAGGTCTGACTTGATGTCATCGATGAATGCACGGATTTTCTCGTGCTCTCTGCTCCTCCATGCAGCTCTTTCCTCACTGACTTTCTTTAGGAAGTGCTCAAGTTTCTTTTTCGAGGACCGTCGTTCAGTTTCCAGTTCATGGATGCGTGTTCGAGCCTGCTCGAGCTCGGATTCGAGGGCGGAAACCATTGAGACAGCGCTAACTTGTTGATCAAGACGTTTCATGTGGCTGTAGATCTGGCGTACCTCATCTGGTGTTTCGAAGCAGACTGGATCCCACTTGGTTTTTCCCTCCATTGCAGAGTTGGAGAACTGGAAAGAAGGTTCAAGCTAACAACAAAGAACCAAAAACAGCTAAACAGTTAGACAGATGGAAGACAAGGCCAAAGGTAATAACTGAATAAAGAAAATCAAATCTCCCTGGATAGGTAAGCACTAGCATATCAGTCCCGAGCTTAAATTGTACTCGAGAGAATAGATATCTAGGTAGTCCTACATACAAGAAGATTTTCCTAAGCAGCATTAAGTTCTTGTTCATATCTTATTACTATGCCTTCTTCCTACATGACTCCAGTACTGATGATATTGTGCCTTCTGCTTAATGCTAATGCCAAATTAAGTACACGAAACCGAAATTCACACAGTGTTCAACTTATTTGGCGAACAGTCAACAGCTCGATTGTTAGATTAATTTGTTATGCATGTAGTAAATTAAACTTCCGCATTAATTTTTCCTACATATTAAGATAAAATAATTCATAACTCATGGTAGAGGATATGCATTGCTAAATCAAACGGTTCGACCACTAAAACTAGAGCAAGTGATCATGACTTTTTCTGCAGATAATCTTTGGCGGTTGCATCACATCAATATGTCGAAAGGAAACCATCCAAAATTATGCTCATTTGAGTGAGCAGGGCAACAAGATCACATTTCCCACTGTCATCCGTATTGGTTAAGAAACACAATAGTTAAGTATAGCAAATATGAAACCTCCAGAACTAACACACCTTACACAAGAACCGGTTCTTCATAGCAGAGCCGGAAGTAGGGCTATGCAATGGATCCTTGAACTCAGAACCATAAACTTTCTCAGTTCGATGGGGTACCACACCAGGATGAGCAGCCCCTGGCTACAAGAGACAACAAACACAAGGAGATCAAGAAAACCTTGAGAATTCAATTCATTGAAGGAAACCCCAACGAGTGAACAAATGGGATTAAGAGCCACCAAAAACCTAACCTTAAAAAATTCCTGATCTCCAGGAGACAAGGTCAACAAAAAAGCATTCTCAAAGTGTTTCTAAAAAAAATACCGGAAAGGTATTGCTGAACAAGTTCGAACATACTCGGTCGGATCCAGAAGGAGGAAATGATAGAAAGGGCAAAAGGCTACAAACTTCAGTAATATAGCATGCTGAGGAGATCATAGTACATCATGATCGATGAATCAATGGGAATATGGGATCCTATGAGCAGAACCATTATCACAAAAATCCACAAAATTAAATGTCAATAGAGACAAATCAATTACTCTGTTAGATAGTATCATAAAGTCTTCAACCTTTTAGATGAGAACAATAAACTATAGCCTATAGGGATAACCAAAATCAGAGCACCAACAAATCTTTACCACAAAAGAAGTTAATGGCGAAAACTTTGAGAGCTAAGCTAGCTAATCACAAGCACAAACTACAAACCATATTGCATTCAACAATTTGCACTCATTTACTCCAAATCTCACAGAATCATTCCCTTTGATACGCCCAAAACTCAAATCACTCCAAAATTCCTCCAGCATAATAACGCCACACAAATCGTCTTTCACAGAACAAACCAAACAAAACAAAAACAAAACAACACACAAGGAAACAACAAAGAAAAGGAATCACATTTTGCAATCTAACCTGAAACCCCAACCCAACCCTCCTCCTCCGCTCCCCACCACCGCCGACCGCCTTCTCCGGCGACTGCAACCTCCACAACCCAGCAGCTAGCTTCCTGGCAGAAACAGAGCTCCCACTGCTTCTCTTGCTCCTCCCTCTCCTACCCTCCTCTTTACCATTCCCCTGCTTCTCCTCATCCTCATCCGCAGCATCATCATCTCCACCCTCCTTACCCCCACCATTCCTCGCTCCGCTCTCCTCAACCTTCCATTTCAACAGGGGCGTCTCGGGTCGGCTCCGCCGCCCGACCGAAGGGGCGACCCGCTTCAACCGGGTCAGGCCCCGGGTCCTGCGCCGTGTCGGCCTGACGAGATCTGAATCGGGGATTTGCTGATGCGGGTTCTGATTAAACCCCTTGGAGTTAAGAATCGAAGCCCCCACTACCGCCGTCGACGAATGCTGTTTCCCGGTGGTCACCTTCATTACTGCTCGCCGGCACAATCAGCCATTGACCCGACACCCGAAAAAAGCACGGCCCAAAAGATCAGAGCTTTAGATAGAGAAAGAGAAGCTCAATGGGTCGCGAGGTCGTGATGATGTGTGTGTCTGGAAGTGGGGAAAGTTGTAAAGCAGGGAGCTTTGTGATGCAGATAGCGAGAGAGAAAGAGAAAGGTTAAGGAAGCGTTTGTTTCTCTGAGCTCGGGAGGTGTACGATTGTATTATTTCCCCATTTTTTTTCTTCTTTCTTTTTTTTTTTTTTAATTTTTTCGTCGTATTTCTATTTAGTTTCGTGTTTTTCTTTTTTGTTCTGTAGCAAAAATCATTGGATTCGCTGCGGTGTCGGAAGGAAGGCGATGCGACGTCGTTTCGGAGGGAATGATGGGGGAAAAGCGCGCGCTTTCCGCCTGGTGCACGTGAGCTCGGGCATGTGGTCTGCCAGAGAGAGACGTTGCTAGTTTTCTATACCTAAGTCCATGATCCATAATATAAATTAATTAATATTCTTGTAAAATATTATATTGAAACTTAATTTTGGATGAAAAGAAATATAATTTGTACTACTTTAACATGCATTTGTCCACTAAATATAAAAAAATGACATTTTTAGAAAGGTTTTGTCGAATCATAATGAGCTGCATAATCACTAATGAAAAATTCTTAACTCCGATCATGGTTGGACCACTCACAAATTGCGCAATGTGGGTCTTGGATCATTCAATCGTTCGGCCCAGTCAAAATTGGGCTGACCCAATTGCTTTGGACGGCCCAAATTCAGACTCCCCTTCTCCACCTCCGTCGTCGCTAAAACTCATGATAAAAGTAGCAGAGGAGGGAAAATGATCGAAAATGGAATTGGCTCCATTTTCAAAAATCGAAACTTTTAGCTCTCTCCGCCGTCGCTCACTTCCCCGCTCACTCTCCTCCCGGCTCCCGCCGTAGCAATCGAAAAATGGCCGATATCGAACCTCCGTCCTTCTCTCTCGGCTTCGACCTCGATTTCGACGCCGAGCCTGAACCGGAAATCCCTCCATCGTCGCCTCCCCGGCCGACGAGCAGCTGCCGACTACCGCCCGAAGAACACGATGAAGACAGGGCTTTCGAAGCTTCCGTCGCCATGGATTCCGAGGACGAGCAACAAAATGGGGAGGACAAGCTGACGACGCCTCCGTTTTCGCGTCACACGATCCTCAAGCGCCTGAGGCGAGGACCTGCAATTAAGGAGCCGAGAACGGAAAAGAGTTCCATTCCCTGTGTGAATGCCGACGATGATATTGAAGATTTCTCTTCCGACGACGACGACGATTTTGTCGCAGGTAAATTTCCAAGCTTTTATCCTTGTTACTACGATTCACTTGTTGAAATTAGAACCCTAGGTTGAATTGGGAATCAGACCATTAGCATCTCGATTGGGGGGGAGAGAGATTAGGGTTTTCTTCAAAATTGTATCATTTCCTTCGAATTGCAGATTTGCTTCCGTCAAGACAGCACAGCTCTGTATGCAGCAGTGGTTCAAAAGTTACGCTTCGTGGATCCGGAGTGTTAACCGGTCAATCATCAAGGCAGTCGTCAGTGGCAAAGGGAAAGGGGCTGGCTTTCAAGACACCAGCTTCATCAAGCTTAGAGACGGGTCAGAGTGGGTTGGTGTTCCCCAAGTTGACTACCAGTCCTCTCAGAAGATTTCAGCTGATTGATTCTGACGACGAGCCTACTCCGATTGGCAATAACGTGAACAGAAAGCCTGAACGTGTCGGGTCACAATCCGCTGAGCATAGTGGAAAATCATCAGGGAAACGTAAGATTGAGGATCTGTGGAAGGACTTCAGTCCGATGCAGAATGTTCGAATTGCAACACCTGCTTTAGATGAGTTCTGCAACGAGTACTTCCAGTCTGTTAAAGATAAGGATGCTGCCGCGAATAGACGTGAAACTCAACGAGCAGGTCATGATCCGAATCGAAATGCCATGGGGGAGTTTGAGCAATGCTGGAACGTAGATGACCCTCTTCCTCCAGCCCATCACTATTTCTTCAACGATGATGCCAGGATTCGGAGCATAGTACGCGACCGGTTGCCCCATTTCTTCCCCCTTGGCGTGGTTAAAGCCCGAGGGAATCTGCTTCCAAGTGAATCAGTTATCGACTACATGTATGTAAACTCACTGCTCTACACAGCTCATTCATATTTTCTGCTGTAGAGCATATTGTGTGATCAATTTGATTGTTTTTGTTGCTCGATCATTTCAGGAGTCAATTTGGGGGAACCCCTCAAGACAAGGGAACTGGCGGAAGCAACATGGACAAGGGATCAACATGCAAAGGAAGAAAGAGAGCAAGGAAATCCGATGCTAAAGGAGCTGCTTCTCAAGGTTGGGTGGACCCTAGAACCAGTGCTGGTCTCCCAAAGGATGCCGGTAAACGACGAGTTCAGGCAAGTGGTCAAGCTGCTGCTGGTCATTGGTTTACATCTCCAGAAGGAAGAAAGGTATATTCCACGAGTTTACCTTCATGTTCTCAAGCTTTCTTGTGCTGCTCGCGATTTGTAAGTCTCTCCCTCCCATTGCAGGTTTATGTCTCCAGAAACGGTCAGGAGCTTACTGGGCAAGCTGCATACAGACATTTCAAAAGGGTAAGTCTCAGAAGACTTCTTTCTTTTTGCTTGGTTTATGTGTTCTCCCTTGCTTGTCTCTCATTTTCTGAATGTCCGCAGGATAGTGGAGGATACAGAAAGACTAGAAAGAAAGCCACCAGCAAGAGAAAGAAAGCTTGAAGCTTGGGGAACTATGTAGCATCCAATTCGATTCTCTTTCCATTCCCATACTCATAATTTCCTGTCTCCAGAAAGTCGGAAACTTTTCAGTGATGTCATTTGTTTATAGAGTTGTCCACAAATGGGCAAGAAGACAGATAAATGGAGAGCACACAAAATCACTCAATTTTTCAAAGAATCAATCGGCACAATGTCTGTAGATTCTACATCATACAAATCCAAGTTCCTTAGTGATTCTGTCCACAATGAAACCAATAGAACGTGCAAACTCCAGGTTAACTCCATGGCTTCATTCAGCGACACTTGGTTTTTACGATCTGCTGTGGATTTGCAGTAGCGAGTTGCTGCAGAAACTGGTAAAGAGATGACATCTTCTAGGGGCTAATTTTCCTTGGATTCTTTCATGTTTTTGTTTTTTCTTTCTCTAACCTCTATATCTTTGAAAATATGCAAAATTTCAAGGATCAGTATCACAATGTGGAATGTTTTGATCCCGTTAATGGGAAACTGCTGTCTGCTAGAGTCTTCCATTGCTTTGACCATTGTTGCTTTTACCGATCTGAACCCTTGCTGTCTCCTGAATTAGCTGGTGAAGCCCTCTTTCTTAGTATCTGCTTCCATGTCCTGAAAAATCAATCAATCAAGATTATTTAGAATGACAAACCGCTGGCCATCCAGAATAGAAATTTGGATGAAATGGAAATTTACGAGTTAAGGGCCTCTGCTTGGTGCTTGACATCCCTGGACGATAACACGGGGTCAATGTCTTTGGGCCTGGATTCTTGTTCCTCTGTTCTTGTTCTCAGCCATTGTTCTGTTTTATTGCACTCGTGCATCATCTGCAAAATCAGGAAACCCACAGATGATTCCAGTAATGAATTGGTCAAGTTTTCCGTTCAAGTGAGCAAGTCTCGTCTATTATGTTATAGTACCAGTTCTCTGTCCTCATTCGGAAGAGACTCTGATGAAGCTCGAAACTCTGCAATGGAATTGAGCAGTTCTCTTGTGGCATATGCTCTAGCTTCCTCGTCTTTGTATCGGTTCTCAACTGGATCCACCAACTAATGGAAATTCGAGGTACAAAAAGTAAGCCAAAAGAGAACTTTGTGAGGGCAAAGTTTGAAGAAAAACAGGATTACCTGCTTCAAGTCCTGCATCTTTGTCGTGTACGCATTCTCAGTTTCATCATCTCCATCTCCATAAAGCCATTCCTCCGTCTCTTGTAGGCTCCTTGAAATTCCCTCCCTTTCCTCATCGCTAGCAAAGCTCCGCAATGTGTTAAAAAGCTGCACGTCACACATTATCAATCTTCAAAATCCATGAATCGAAAAAAGCTCCAAACCAAAATGCACCAATAGTTCTCCTAAACATGCACATAAATTCAGAATGACCTCCACCCTTTTGTTGAACTGTATATTCTTACACCGATCATCAATGTGTACCTTATTACGCATCTCATAGACATACGACTCCAGTGCATTCTTCTTTTCCTTGGCTTGTTCCACAGTTCTGTCCTGTTGGGTGAGTTGAAGTTCCCTCTCATGGGCTTCTGAAAGCTGAGCCATTGTCATTCCACCATACACAGTTTCACTCACTGGTATCTCGATCCTACGGTTGCCTCTATCTCTCGAACCATCAGCCTGCAGAAACAGTTGTTGTCATCATTTACTCCAACGCCTAGTAGATCAAGTCAACACACTATGACCTATGCAAAAGGCCAAATAGAAGAACACTTCCTGTTGGCCTCAATTAAAAAAAAAAGGACCTTAGATGTGTTCATAAACATCGGGGATGATTAATCAATTGAAAAATAAATTATATAATGTGAATGAACTTACTGAAGCATCGTAAGATGGGGACTGCATACTAACGTCATCACCATCACCACTAACAACCTTCAAATATAAGCATGTTAAAGTTCAATTATTTATCAGATCTTAAGATACAAATTAATCATTGAAAGATTGCATGAAAGTGGATGTTATTTACCATAGCTGCCTCAACAGTGATGATACCATGGAGGTTTAGCTGGATTTTAACCTTAACCCTTGATTTATCACTATTGGAGCCTTGTAAAGGACCAATCTACATAGAGAATTTCAGAGCACCAGTCAATCGACAAAGGAACCATCCGTGAGAATGAGAAGTCCAAGATGCAAAATCAATGGCAAGTAATATTTATAATGGAAGCACAAAAAAGAAAGTGGGAAGCATTGTGTATCAAACAAACCGCTCAACAGACATCAGAAAGTGGCTTCTTGTTACTAACAGATCTCATATGTGCCTAACCACCATCTCACCATACGTCTAATGGAAGTTTGATCTGAATCCATGCACTTAACAGCTAGAGGCGTTTCTTGTATCTCCTCCCTCGGCAAGCGTCCAAAAAGCTGAATGTTCGTTCTCCAATCAGATTTTGAGGCAGACAGAAATGTCCCTAGGGAGTGTCTGGAGACTCTTCCTAACTAACTGAAACATAATTCAGTCCCAGTGACTCTTCTTAACTATCAGAATCCTTACATCTCAATCAAAGATGGGAAAATACTCTCATTTCCTAAATGTCTATCCATAATTGGCTTTCCAAACATATGGAAGCCATCACGAAAAGGCTTCAAAAGGTAGACTTATGGACACGCCTAGTTACAATATCCTTAACACAGCATGATTCTCTCTTTGGCCTTTCGAAGCCTAAAAGCATCAGCATGAACATTGAATCGAAGACTGGTGTGTTTAGCAAAAACAGGAACATAAACATAAATCTTGCATCATTGATGGAAAAAGACAAAGTAAACACCCCGAGCACATAGTTATCATTATGAAACCAAAAGATACAAGGCAAGAACTATATGCAATGGGAGTCCGAAGCAGTAACCAAATCTTTATGAGAAGGCAGAAGAAACTAATTTCAGACCAAGGAGTTTCCCCATCTCCTCAACATTGACGAAAAGAAGGCTTACCGTAAAAGTACATATCCGGGAAGAGACACCCGCTGGAAGTTCATTCGGATCGGCATAGAAAGCATCCAAGTGAAACTGACTACTCCTTTGAAATGTCAAGACTTTGGTACTTGGAATGGATAGGCCTCTAGGAAATAATATGCCATTTGATGAGGGTGTGCGAATTGGGCCTTCGTCTGATGAGAACCCTATGGAGAAAGGATTTGAATCTTGAACCTGCATACCACACAGCTAGAAGTTCCTTAACTGTCGTTGAACGAGCATACTATACAAGCAAAACATGTCCATAGTCCGTTTTGCAATTTCTCGTGTTAGTTTGGGGGGTGGGTTCAGGGGAAATACATGGAGACTGAGTCTCTGATGAAATGAATATATCAAAGGCTACAGTAATAACACAGAATTGATATGCATTGGAAACTAAGCATTAAAGAAGAACACAATCCACTCACAGAAAAAAAGGGGAGAAGAAGCAAGAATTTGACAGTCAACACTAACAGCCAATATAAGCAAGTGAATGCAACTTTTGGAACAGGAAAACTACAAGGGATCAAACTAATATGAAAAGTACTTAGTACTTACATCATATTCTCTTACACGAAATACAGGACTAAGCATTGCACATTGCAGAGCACACCCACGAGCCACACATTCACTTGCATTCAATGTCCGACTGGGTTCTCTTCCAAATAAAGAAGTTATTAGCTTAGCAATTGCTGGTATTCTAGATCCAGATCCCACAAGCTCGACTGAGTGAATCTTTCCCACAGTGATGGTTGCATCAGCTAAAGCTTTCCTGCAAGGAATACAAACTCTATCCAGCAAAGCTGATGACAGCCTCTCAAATTCTTCCCTCTTGATGAAACCTTTAACATCCTTTTCATCCATCAAGCATTCAATATTTAAGGGTGCCTCTGAGTTTGCACTTAGAACCTTCTTCAACTTTTCACATGCTGCTCTTAACCTTATACAAGCCCTGATATTAGAATTTACATCTATCTTGTACTGCTCCTTAAACTGAGCCACAAAATAACCAAACAAAACCTCATCAAAGTCCCTCCCACCCAAGTTGCTTTCAAAAGCATGTGATACTATTCTCATATGCCCAACCTCAAATGATACAATAGACACCTGAGTATCACAGTGACCAATGTCAATAAACGCCACATATGTTGGCCCCGTACTAGAGAAATCTGTTTTATAGATACCATAACTAAGTGCAGTTGCAGCGCAGTCATGCATCAGTCTCAAAGGCTTCAAACCTGCAATTTTAGCAGCATCCAAATATGCCCGTCTCTGCAAATCTGTGAAGTATGATGGTATTCCTATCACACAGTCTACAACCGGCATTTCCAAGTTCTTCTCTGCCACGTCTTTCATATGTGAAAATAACATTGCCAAAATTTGAACAGGGGCAAATGAATGCGTTTCACCCAAGTATTTCAAATTAATCAAAATGCCACCATCCTTTGCTTCTGACGTGTCAAATGGGAATATTTTCAGGTCCGTTTGAACTTCAGGATCCTTAAACCTCCTTCCAATCAATCTCTTTACTTGTGTTACAGTAGACCTTGGGTTCATCATAGCAGAAGAGGCACCTGCTGATCCAAGGAACCTCTGTTTCTCCCCAAAACAAACCACAGACGGTGTTTCACGATTTGATTCATCATTCAACAACACGTCAATGCCCCTTTGTTTTACCACAGCAATAACACAGTTCTCGTTACCAATATCAAAACCAATCACACTCATTTTCGTCGACTAGCACGGTCGATAGCATACACCAATAAACACCCCACAATTCTTCCAAGGGGTGACAGAATTCTCTCCAGGTCAGCAGATGCTACAGATGCACTACCTGAACAGGAAACCAAGGGAGTCAAGAGGAAGAAACAATGAGGACACAGCCTTGGAACATTGCTGCCCGATTCAATAACAAAAGATACCAGAACAGCAGCAGGAACATCCAGGTTAATTTGATTTCATAACATCAGTTTACACAGAAAGATGGAAACTCTCCAATGATAGAACGCAAATCCTCATTTCTAATCAAAGACCAAGCAGACCCAACATTCAAAATCCGAACTTTAACTCTTCGACCGTCTCATCAACACAACCCACACGAAATTACAAAAGTGAAATGGACCCAAAAGTAGAAATTACGACGTGGAATACAAGGACGAACTACCCCGGATGTGCAGAACATGCAATGCAACGTCATTTCTTTACCTGTTTCACGGACACGATGAGAATCCGGCGAAGAAGGAAGCGCCCTGGGAAGAAGAATTGAACGGAAAGGTAGAGAAACGGAATCGGGCGATTCGCCTGCTGGCTGGGGACATCTACCGGATGGAATGCCTGTTGGATCGTTGAGCGCGAGACGATTCTACCCGAGAGATACTTTAGCCCTTCTCTTGTTTGCCTGTAAATGATCTGTGTACCAATTTTCTTCGAACTTTGACAAGAACAGGTGAGATCAGAATTCTAGGGATTTAATTGAAAGTAGAAGTGCAATATGAAACGTTTGATCAATTGAGGTTAGGAAAATGAAATAAAGGTTTTTATCTTGACCACGGGCTTTGCACAATAAATCTGACCGAAGGCCCAACCCACATATACGACACTGTCCAAGTCCAACTTCTGCTTTTCTAGTTAGAACGCAAGCAACGCTGCGTTTTTGAACACTTGAGCAATTGCTTTTACCTTCTTCTTCTTCGAGCCAAGTTGTCTGCTCTGTTTCCTGCAGATTCTCAGAATACAAAAACAGAGCAATAAACGAATTAGTCATGCACTCTTTTCTTATCAAACTACACTTAGCAAGATTCCTTATTACGATGCTTGGCTTCGGTTGCGCCATGGTAGAACCGAAAATTGGCTTCACTTGAGGGGTTTTGGGATTTTTTTTGGTTATATCAATTATTTTCTATTCTTTTAATACGATTTATGGTTCGGTCCTTAAGATAATTTGTTGGATCTTATACCACTCTCTAACACGCCCCCTCAAACGAAAGCCAAACCATGGGCTTGAAGTTTGCACCGGCCCACCATACCATGTGCTTGAAAGACAATGGTTAATATTGGGGGTCGTAGAGATTCGAACACATGACCTTTCGGTTCTAGGCTCTAATACCATGTCAAGAACCAATTGGTCCCAATAACTCGAGTTGTTGGGAGAAGGTTATGCTGGATCTTATACAGGCCCGTGTATGACACTTAACCACTTCCTTACGTATGGTTCGGTTCTTAAGATAATTTGTTGGATTTTGGTTTATATTTTTTAAAAATTTATGGAAGGGGGAGGGGTTGTTTGTTTTGTGCTTGATTTTGAAATTCAAAATGGGCAATCCAATAAATTACGTATTAAGTTAGTAATGCTTGAGATCGAATCCTTTCGGATTGAAAATAAGTTTTTTTGAAAGGAAATCGGATTGAAAATTTAAACTTAACAAAGTAGCAAAGATAGTTTGCATTATGATGATCGAACGCTGATCACTTTACTTAAATTTTATATGTGGAGTTTTAATCAGCCTAATTTTACCACTTCTCCACTTCATATTTGATTGTTTGTGTGAATCTTCGTTGTTTTTCTTACGCCTCTAACACTCCATGAAAGGAGATAAGACTACACACTCATCCAATCCATCATCCAATACAGTCGTGGAACAAGAATCTACACGAGGAATCCATTATAGACACCACAACTAGCGAGGTTATGCATTTACTGAGAGGTGACAATGGAAAGTCTTGACGACGGTGTGCCTACAACTCTCAATTTTCTTATGTACAAGAAGGAAAAAATGCTCTCGACTCCGCTTGGTGGATCCTCTGCTCCGGCGCCGGCCCTTTTCCCGTCCGACCGGCCTCCGGACACAACGATACCCTCCGCAGCATCAGCAATCGGAGCGGGACCTTTGGCTCCTGAGATGACACCCGCTCCAGACACCGAAATGGTAATGGACATTGCGGCTCCAGCGCCTCAGATCATGGATGCGAGAGAAGCCTCACAAGCCTCTCCGATCAGTCCAGTGACGACTCAGCCTCGTTTCACATACGCGCTAGCGGTCACTGGAGCTCCTGCGACGACCCCAACTCAGCAACTGGCCAGTCAGTGGACGCCGGTCTGTGAAAATGATCTTGTACCAGGGGAACGCAATGGTGAACCGGCCCTGAACGTTTCTCCGAGTTTCAAAGCAAAGATCTGTGCTCCGTGGGAGCGAGCCTTGGTCGTCAGGCTTGTTGGGGCTAAAGTCGGTTTCACTGCCTTATGCGCCCGTCTGCGACAGCTTTGGCGCCCAATCGGGACTCTGGAAGCTATGGATCTTGATCATGATTGCTTTTTGATTAAGCTAAGTAATGAACAGGACTATTTCCGGGCTCTCACAGATGGCCCGTGGATGATCTACGATCACTACTTGGTGGTTCAGCAATGGACTCCCAAGTTCAAAGTCTCAGACCCTCTTCCGAGGAAGATGATTGTCTGGGTCCAGCTTCCTGCGTTGAAGGTGCATTTCTATCACAAGGAGGTGCTGACAACTCTCGGGAATCTCATTGGACGGACGATCAAGCTCGATTACCACACTCTAACGAGGCAACGCGCCAAATTTGCTCGGCTGGCGGTAGAGGTAGATCTCTCCAGGCCACTAGTCCCAAGGATTTGGCTAGATGACGAATGGCAGAAAGTCGAGTTTGAGAATCTGCCCGTCGTCTGTTTTGAATGTGGCAAAATCGGCCACTCAACTGATTCCTGCCCGCTCCTGCACCCAACTGTGTCGCCGGCGGCGCTACCCCTCCCCGGCGGGACATCGACGGAAACTCGACCGGAATCTCCAGAGGAAAATCCGGGATATGGACCGTGGATGCTTGTTAGCCGTAAAAGCAGGCGCAATCCTAGGGACCAAGGCCAAAAAGGAAAGCAGGATAATGAGACGGGAATTTTGGGAACAGGCAAAGATGGAAAGAATAGCAAAGGTGGAAACAGGAACAAAGAAGGAAATGCCTCTCCCTCTTACCCCGCAACCAGCAACGGCTCTCTAGTCCCTACCCTCATTTCACAAGAAAAAAAGTCTTTTAATGGGAGGAAGGGAGGCGGCGAAATGAAGAAGGGCAAGGAAAAAGTGGGCTCACAAGAAAACCCTAAAGAGCAAAGCCTACTCGGGCCGAGGCCCAATGTTACTACTAAGCCCGGTCAGGTGCCAATAATGGCAATTGAGACACAAAAAGCCCAAGCTTCGACCTCTGCCCAGAACATCAAGACAGCGAAACCAAAGGACATCAAAGTTGCGGGCCAGGAGGATGTCTCGGCCCAGAAAATAAACCCCCAGCCCAGCGCCCACCCTCCTCTCGTCCATTCAGTGATCGGCCCAAGTGGGACTAAGATGCAAAGCATTGCCGTTCCACCAGCAGACGCGATCTCCACCGGGGGAAATGGCGAGGCGATTCCATCCACAGCCTCCAGAACGAAACGAGCCAAGAACGCCAAACCGGGAGGTCGGAAGGGATCCCCTGCCAAGCTCAATCCGACTAGGACCCTCCAAATCTGGTCTCCGGTTAAAGAGAAGAAATCGAAGAACAAAGCTCGGCTGGCGTCTTTGACTCTGCAGGACATTAATGCGTGGACGGAAGCTCGAGGACGCCCAGCCTCGGGTCTCTCTGACCAAGCCGCTATGGAGGAAACGAGTCAACGACCTGGAGAGGAAACCGTGGAGAGCGAGATGGCCACCTCTGCTTGACTTTCTGAAGCTTGATTTCTCTTCTTTTTTTTCTTGTCTTCCTCGTTCTCTTTTTGCGATTAGTTCCCTATGTCTAGTATCAACAACATTAAAATTTTCTCTTGGAACGTTGGTGGTGCAGGTAACATCGCCTTCGTTCGAGCGCTTCGTCTTGCTATCCAGCAGCAGCGTCCGGATTTTGTAATTCTGTTGGAACCTCAAGTCAGCGGGAACTCAGCTAACTCTGTTTGTGACAAGCTGGGTTTTCCTAATTCGATTAGAGTTGAAGCTGAAGGGAGGAAGGGTGGTATCTGGGTGTTTTGGGATGCCGGAAGACACACTACGCAGCTCATCTCAGCCTGCAACCAGCATATTTCCTTGCAGGTTTCTCAGAGCTCCGCGCCCCCTTGGATCCTGACCGCCGTGTATGCGTCGCCTCGGTACAGCCAGCAGCGAAGTCTTTGGGATTGCCTTATTGGTCAGAGCAAGCAGATCGACATCCCGTGGCTGCTGACTGGGGACTTCAACGCGATTCGGTCGCTAGAAGAGAAAGCTGGTCCCCCCACGAACTCCACAGCCCGTCGTTGCCACATTTTCAATGAGAGAATCAATATGGCAGAACTGGTTGACCTTGGCTTCTCCGGGCCCCGTTTCACGTGGACTCGAGGAGATCAGCCCCAAACCTACAGAGCAAGTCGACTCGACAGGAGCTTGTGCAACCTGCAATGGAACTCGAGCTTCCCCAACACTTCAGTCACGCATCTACCTCGCTTCCACTCCGATCATAACCCGATCATGACCTCTGTCACTATTCAGGGACGTCCCCCGTCTGCCCCTAGACCTTTTAAATTTGAGGCTGCTTGGTTTACTCATGACAACTTTACTGATTTCATTTCTGATTCCTGGAACTCTGACACCCTTTTTCACACTGCCCTGTCTCAGCTTGCAGGCAAACTTCAGGAGTGGAACACCAGCACCTTTGGCAATGTGCTTCAGAAGAAGAAGAGGCTGCTTGCGCGACTTAAAGGAGTCGAATCTAGACTGGCGGTCGGATTCTCTCCTGGTCTCGCCAAGCTGCATTCCAAGTTGGAAGCTGAGCTTGATACTGTTCTGGCTCAGGAGGAGCTGTTGTGGTTCCAGCGAGCAAGGGAAAATTGGGTGAAGTATGGGGAAAGGAACACGGCCTACTTTCATCAGCTGGTCAACATCAGGAGGCGGAGGAATAAGACTAATTCCCTTCAGGACGCGACCGGGAATTGGGTGAATGATCAAAATGAACTTGCTGCTATGGTTTTCAATTTTTTCACTCACCTTTATACGCAGGATGATACTCCTTATGAGGACAGGCTTCCAAAGGGCTCCTTTCCGCGGATCTCTCAACCGAAGTTGATGGCTCTGCTTCGGCCCTTTACCATAACGGACATCCACATGGCCATTTTTGACATGAAACCCTTTCAGGCACCCGGTCCGGATGGTTTTCAAGCTGCTTTCTTCCAGCAAATGTGGAGATTTGTTGGGAGGAGCCTCTCGAAGATGGCAATTGACTTCTTTTCCACAGGGGAGCTGCCAGACACGGTGTCTGAGTCAACCATGGTGCTTATTCCGAAGGTGGAGAACCCTGAGCGGGTGAACCAGTTGAGGCCCATTTCTCTTAACAATGTGAGCCTAAAAGCTATCACTAAAGCCATGACGAGCAGACTGAAACCCCTCATGAGGAAACTGGTCTCTCCCAGGCAGAGTAGCTTCATTCCGGGTAGACAGACAACGGACAACATCATTGTGGTGCAAGAGGTTCTGCATTCTCTCAGGCGAAGGAAGGGGAAGAAGGGGGGCCTTATTGTGAAGATCGACCTGGAGAAAGCGTATGATAGGCTCCGTTGGGACTTTCTGCGGGACACTCTTAAGGAAGTTGGTCTCCCTAGTTCCTGGATCAGCTGTATCATGCATTGTGTGGAGCAAAATCGGATGAAGATCCTTTGGAATGGAGAGCTCTCTCAACCCTTTTCCCCGACCAGGGGAGTCCGCCAGGGAGACCCTCTATCTCCTTATCTCTTTGTTCTTTGCATGGAACGCCTTTCCCATTTGATTGATGATTGTGTGGATAGTGGGGAATGGAAACATATTAGATTATCTCAGAATGGTCCGCCCCTCACCCATCTGTTTTTTGCGGATGATTTGTTGCTCTTTGCAGAAGCAGAGACTCGGCAGATAGGGATCATCAAGCGGTGCCTAGAGGACTTTTGCTTCAGTTCAGGCCAGCGTGTGAACTTCGACAAGTCGATGCTCTTCGTGTCTCCCAATGTTACTCGCCAGAAAGCCGAAAGGCTGAGTCGCCGCTCAGGCATTCCTCTGACAGCGGACCTGGGGAAGTACCTTGGGATCCAGACGATCCACAGGCGTATCACTAAGGGGAGATACCAATCTCTTCTCCTCCGGATTCAGAAGAAATTGGCTCCATGGAAAGCCAGACGTCTCTCCTTTGCGGCTAGGCTCACTGTTGCTAAGTCAATTTCCGCTTCTTTACCTGTCTACCATATGAATACTGAGCTAATCCCAATGGGTGTTTGCAATAGCATTGATAAGATTAACAGGGATTTCATCTGGGGAGATGAGGAGAACAAGAGTAAGATGCATGTAGTGGCTTGGGAGAAGATGACGCTTCCTAAGACCTCGGGAGGAGCTGGCATCAGACCCACTAGACAGGCTAATCTGGCCATGCTGGCGAAAGGTGGGTGGAGACTACTCAAGGAGAAGGACACCCTGTGGACCCAGATCATGTATTCTAAATACGGGCGACAACAGAGACATCTTGACATCCTGCGACCATGTCAGGGAAGTTCCTTTACCTGGGCAAGCTTCGCGAAGGCTGCCACCCTCCTCAAAAAGGGGTGTGCCTGGAATATCAAGAATGGTAAACACACTAAATTTTGGCTTGATCCCTGGGTTTTGCAGGTCCCCCTCAAGGAGGTCGCTATTGGTCAGTTGCCGATAGGAAGTGAGGAGATGACTGTAGCTGATTTTGTTCATGATGATGGAAGCTGGCGGATGGACTTGTTCGAAGGGCTCCTTCCTCCACCTATCTCCCAAAAGATTCTTAGCGTGGCGGTGGATAAACTCTCCTCGGAGGACGACACACTCTTCTGGTCGGCATCCTCGGACGGAAACTTCTCGGCCCGGTCAGCCTACAACCTCAGTAAGGACCATCCGCAGGATGTAGATGAACCCCTTTGGAAGGCGATTTGGAAGCTCCCGGTCGCCGAGAGGGTGAGAAGCTTCACTTGGCTAGTCGGTTTGGGGAGGATTGTCACGAATGATCTGCGGCACTCTAGGAAGATAGCGGATGACCCCTCGTGCTATAGATGCAATGGCCAGTCCGAGACGATGCTTCATGCTTTGAGAGATTGTCCGCCAGCGAGTTTCTTCTGGTCTCGAAGAGTGCCTCCATCCCGACAGCATTCTTTCTTCAGCTCTACTCTCAGGGACTGGCTCCGGGAGAACATCTTCAGCAAAGACAGTATGGCCACAGGTATGGAATGGCCGGCCTTCTTCAGCACTGCTTGCTGGCTCATTTGGAAGAATAGGTCGACAGCTTGTTTTAAAGGTATGGGGGCAGCTCTCTCTCCTCATTCTCTTGAGCATGCTATTATGGCAAAAACCAAGCTCTGGCATGATGCTTGGAATGCGCCGTCCCGCCTCCCCAGCAGTAAACAGGCTCCAGCGGAGCGAGTCTTAGCGCAGGTCGGTTGGAAGCCCCCACCTGAGGGATGTCTGTCTCTCCATGTCGATGGTGCTTCGTCAGGGAATCCCGGCCCGGCTGGTGCGGGTGGTGTTCTCCGGGATTCGAGTGGTAGGTGGGTAACAGGTTTTGTTGCGAATCTTGGCACGGCGACGGCCGCCCTCTCAGAGCTTTGGGCCATTAGCTACGGGCTCGATATCGCTTGGAAAGCTGGCTGCAGATTCCTCCAGGTGGCCTCAGACTCTCAACTGGCGATTCAGCTGATTAGTACTCGGCAGGACCCGATCCACCCCTATGCGACTTTGTTGGCAGCTATTAGAAGGAAGATTGGGAATGATTGGGTGGTTCGCATAACCCATACATATCGGGAAGGGAATAGAGTCGCGGACTGGCTCTCGAAGCACAGTCTCGTCTACCCCTACGGTATGCATGAGCTTGCGGACCCACCCAATGGAGTGACTTCGATTCTGCGAGATGATTGGATTGGGACTACTTTTGAGCGGCGAGTCATTGCCGCCTCCACCCCCCCTCTGTAATCTCCTCTTGTAACTGCCTCTTTTTCTTGGCCTCGGCCTCCTTTGTAAGCAAAAAAAAAAAAATGTACAAGTATATTATTATGCATGCATTGATAGCTTTTTTTTAAAAAAAAAAATAATTGTATACATTGATGACACCACATCAATTTAACTATCACCAAAATCCAACGAACCTGTATTTCTCGTCTTACGGTAAACTTGACAACAAGTCTAACAAAATTGATCCCACAATAAAAAAAAGCCCGACATCTCCAAATGCAGAGAAAGTTGCATTTCTTTTTACCCTCTTTACCATTTCCCCTTTCACAGTTGATGAAAATGAAGAAGAAGAAAAAAAAACATTTTGTGCTACCTATGAACTGTAGACTCTATGATCAAAATTTCTTATTGTCTGATACAAAGAATTGGGAAGCCAGTGGCTGAATGTTCATGGGAACTTGGTGGCAAAGAGAGCGTTGGATGATGGAACAGGAATGTGACGATTTGCAGGGATTGGAGGTGGCAAGAGTGGGATGTGGCCTGGCATTGTAAATGGTTGCTGCACTCCACCACCCACAAATGGAGGCGGCATACAGATTGGCATTCCCTGACCACTGACTACTGCATTCCCTGCATTTCACAAATGGGATATCCAACAAGCATAAGAACCCCGAGCCATACAGCCTCCAAACCAACAGGGCCGAAAAGTGGGGGAAATGCGGCACAAATAGTAGAATTTGTCCTAGAAGCGGAAGAATTACTGAAACTGC